AGTTGCTTTCCCTTTCACAGTATCCACTGTACTTTTCAGGTTTTATTTACTCTTTCAGGTTCTTATACTAGGGAGACCATGATTTTTACACATGCAGGTCTGCTTTATTTTACTTATGAGTATGGTCTCTAGTTAAATCCATTTACCTATAAAATCTTTGCATTTATCTTTTTTTTTTTAGTTGAGTGTCTTAGTTACTCTTCTCTCATTGCTGGGACAAACACCTGACACCCAACATGAAAGAAGGAAAGGTTTATTTAGCTTACAGTTAGTGGAGGTTTCAGTCCATACTCAGCTGTCTTTAAGGCAGAGTGCCACAGGGCAGAGGACAGCCATTCATGGCTAGCTAGCCTCTCCCCTCCTTACACTGTAATGCAGAGTACCCCCCCCCCCTGCAGAACCCACACTCACAATCCTAGCATTGAATCAAGAATGAATCACAAACTCCAGAAGCCAGCCTATGACTGCATGAGGCTTTGGAGGGACAATTAGACAGAGACTATAACACTGAGTCATATTCTTTATATAAAAATACATCTTTTTTATGCATTCCTCATTTAATGGGCATTTGGGTTGTTTCCAAGATTTAGCTATGTCAAACTTATGCTGCTATAAACATGGGTGCACATAGGTCACTGTGATATGATGTTTTCAGTTTGGCATCAACTGAGACATGGAAGTTTTTTTTTTTAATTTTATGTATTTGGAATAGGGTCTCACTATGTAGCTCAGGCTCATAGTGATTCTTCTGTTTTCAGCTTCCCCAGTGTTGGGATTACAGGTGTGCACCACCCTGCCTGGTCTCAGTGGCCAGCTCAGCAGGGCCAGGGTGGGGCCAATATAGCATGCTATACTGGGGATCGAATCCCAGTCCTTATACTTGCCAGGCAGGTAATTAGACTACTGAGCTATCTCTCCAAACGCGAGATGGAAGTTTTTGGTTTTTTAAAAAATTTTCTTTTTCTGAAACTTGGATTGCCCAAAAGTGGGGTCTGAGATGTGATAAGTGTTTCAAATAACTATATCAGTCACTAAGAGGTTCTAAATGATGTGGTCACATGTGTATGTGTTCAAGTTAACATGATAAAGTTTTGTCTTTCCTTTATGTTAGAAGAACAGAACAGGAAAAAGAAAAGACGCTTCTATCAGAGGATATTCCAGGCCCACTGCAGGGCAGGTAGGTGGCAATGAATATTAAAGGTAGAAGCTTTTCGTAATCCAAGATTTCACCATCATCCTTACTTTCAATTTTAATTTGAATAAGCGCAAAGAAAACTTAAATAGTTTTGTGCAGTGTAACATTAGAAAATTAAAATGCCATTGGTATTAGTAATACTGAGCTTATCAGCCTCTTTCTCTTTCTCACTCAAAAGTTAATACAGCCTCATGACTCAAAGCCATGCACAAATCTGTAATTATAACTGGAGTATCATATTGAGCTCATTCTTAATGAGATATTGAGATAGTTACACTTCATAAAAAAATAAAACTTCAAGTTAAACTGAATCCTGATTATCTTGTAATAACTCTTCTATCTAATGTGAGTTTGGTTTTTAAAAACTTCATCAGCAATATTTCCATACCAGCTTATCTGAATTTTAAAGATAGAGAATATATATCAAGTGTGTTAGAAAAGCCAAAAGTCCATATTAGACGGTAGAAGGGCCTAGCACAGTGGTACTGGCCTATAATCCCAGCTATTCAGGAAGCTGAGGCAGAAGGATCTTAAGTTTGAGGACAGGAAACTTAGAACTGTCTCAAAAAAGTTCTGAGGATGTAGCTCAGTAGTAGAACATTTGGCTCATACAAATTTAATCCCAAGTACTACACACACACACACACACACA